CCGCCATGCAATAGAGCATGTCATCCAAGGCACCCAGGATGGTGGAGCACTTTAGTCTCCCTGCCTTCTGCAGTCCCGGCTGCACCCTCAATCCCCTATGCAGTGGGCTCCAGCTCCCAGGCACAGGTGCATCCTCCCCTGGGCGGAGGGGCCTGTGCTGATATGGAGTCTGTATCTGGTTCATCGAGACCACGATCATGGAGATCGAGGCGATGGTAATGAACCTGAATTTGTTTTGCGTGAAGTTCGGCCAGCTGACCGCGCACTAATCGAGTTAGTCGAGACAAGGCCCAAGGGCCGAATGTCAAGACAACAATGAGGCCAACCAAGGGTCCCAGAAGGGACGGCAGGAGGGTGGTTAGCCAGGGAGATGCAGAGAACCAATTTTGGAACCAGTCTAGCTCTTGATTTCTTTCTTTTTTGCGCTTCTCTAAGCCTTCCTGGACTTTGGCCATGCTATCCCTTGCTACTCCTGTGTGATCAGTATAGAAGCAGCACTCTTCCTTAAGAGCGGCACACAGACCTCCTTGCTGTAAAAAGAGGAGGTCGAGCCCTCACGGTTTTGGAGGACCACTTCTGAAAGGGAGATGAGGGAGGATTCAAGGGCGGAAATGCCTCGCTCAAGCTGTGCTATATCTTCATCTATGGAAATTCTAAGCTCTGAATAATGTTGAATAGATAAAACTAGGGAAGCTATGCCAGTACCGGCCCCTGCAGCTCCGGCCCCCAGGAGGACAGCCAGAGTGACTGCAGTCATGGGTTGGGGCATCCTACGCTTTCCTCTAATAAATTTTGCAGGCAGAGCCAGGCGGATCTCTGTGAGTTCGAGGCCAGCAGGCGCAAAGCTACACAGAGAAACCCTGTCTCAAAAAACCAAAAAAAAAAAAAAAAAAATTAAATAAAAATAAAATAAATAAATAAATTTTGCAATTGTGGGCAGTCTGACCCCACCCACAGAGAAGAAAAAGAAAATTTGTAAGTGGGAGATATAAACTGTAGTCAGGTTGTATTCCTCCCAGTCCTTCTTGGCTTGTGGGCGTTGGCAAATGTTGATCGCACACCATCATCTCCTGAAGCTTATGAGAACCTTCTTAACAGACAAAATCTTAGACATGTTAGCAATATAACAGTGGTGAACTTTATCAGAGCAAAATTATGAGTCCTTGGAGCCTCAACAAAACATCAGGATAGCCAGAGAATGAAATCTGAAATGTGTTATTTATATATCTCTCAAGTCTCATATATATTTTGACAAAAATTAATAAAATACATTTAGAACAGAATTATTCTAATCATATTTTTATAAGTTTTGATGAACAGTTCATCAAAAGGATCTGGAATTGTATCAACTTATTTATATTCAAGGCTCAATATTTAAGAATCTAGAGGTAAATAACAGCCTGTATTCAGACTGGCAGCTTTAGAGCGCCTTTGTCCTGCAGCTGCCAATATATGGTGTGACCACGCAATCCAGGATTCATAAAGGCAGGTCAATGTCCTATAAAGACATGTATCCTCCTCCTGACATTATGAAAACATCAGGACCTTTTTAAATATCAGTGAGGAGATCATAGGCTTAGGTGTACCTTTGTGACTTGGCCTGGTGGTCATGAGGAATACCTGTAGTGGGGGATATGAAAAATTAAGCACCAATTCGCCGGGCGGTGGTGGCGCACGCCTTTAATCCCAGCACTCGGGAGGCAGAGCCAGGCGGATCTCTGTGAGTTCGAGGCCAGCCTGGTCTCCAAAGCGAGTACCAGGAAAGGCGCAAAGCTACACAGAGAAACCCTGTCTTGAAAAAACCAAAAAAAAAAAAAAAAAAAAAAAAAAAAAAAAAAAAAAAATTAAGCACCAATTCTTAAGAGCTCTTGAAGTATATGTAAGGCTATTGTCTATATATGGGCTCAAGGCATTCCTAAGATTAAAAAGCAGTGAAAGAAATGGTGTATTATTTTTTATTTCATAACCATGAATCATAAGGACATAAGCCTCATGGGTAAGCTTCCATAGGGAGAGAATTTATAATTGTTGAACAGACATATGAAAAGGTGTCAGTATATCCTGTAGAGCTATCTGCCATTCTATAGACTCACAAGTTTTATAGTTTGATATAAATATAATATCATCTGTACAATAAATGTATTGTAAGATATATGTATATACATATACATGTATACATACATATAGGTTGGGGGACTGTGAGGAAGCTATAATTGACAGTTAGTTTTGATAGTTAATCTGTATATATAATGAGGAACTTTGTTCAATGAATGAGTCCTGGATAAACAGAACTCGCATTTTCTGCTCTGTATGTCAGCTTTGGCCTCGATCATGGTAGGGTGAGTAGGCAAGCTAAAAATATTTGAAATGCTGACAATCTTTAGGTTGAGGAGGTATGGACAAGAAGCAATCTTGTATATCTATGACTTTTTCTTTTTTTTTTTATTTCTGGGGATGGCCCTGGGAGATGGCAAGCCAGGCTGTGAGACTTTCCTTGGCTTTAATAAATTTTATTTAATTTTTAAAGGATCTATAACAGTCTATAAGCCTGATTTTCCTAAATAAAAAGATATTGGGGTGATTTAAGGGCTGGTGGGGGCCTTATATGTCCAAAATTTAAGTTTTTCCTACACCAAACAGGTAGCAATTATAATTTTCTCAGCATTTAAAAGCCATTGTTTGATCCAGATAGGAGCATTAGATTTTCCTGACCTTCGGGCTACATTATTAGCTTGACCTAGGCCTGTAAGAGACGAAGAGGTAATAGTCGTCTTAAGTACTTGGCCAATCTTTTTCTGAAATATAAGAAACATCTATGTTTATGTCTAGTAAGCAAATTATCTTCTTTCCCTATATTTTAAGTGTTTAGTTGTTTGGAATATTTAATTTCCTGAACCCAGAAGGCCATATCACTAGAATCCACACCAGCAGTTCCCTTAGGCACTGCCTTGTATGAATCTGAATTGTACAATGATCTTAATCTCTCCAGTAAAGTCAGAATCGCACAACCCTAGGGCAACCTTATACAGCCGAGGAGCTACGGCCTGTAATTAGCCCCAGTGTCCCTTCTGAGGAGGTCCATAGACTTTTGTATTAAGGTATACATAAGTTTATTTTTAAAGCCTATATATCTATCTCAGACCTCAATAAAAACCTTATCCATAGATCTAACTTAGGCATACATCCTCAATATCTTTAGGTTACTTATTGAGATTTATGTATCATTTATAACATATCTAGATGTTTATATGTTATATTTCTCTATCCCAATTACATATGTAATAAATTATTTCTTAACGTTTTTAAACATTCTTTATATCTAATCCTTTATATCCTATAAAAACTTTACATCTAAAAGCATTTTTGTATTTAATTTATCAGGAAATATAGGTGATTGATTACTGAGAGCAGCCAATGTGGTGAATTCCTTTAAACAAAGGAACAAAGTTTATTTTGAAATCTGTTTGGCAAGCTACCTTTTCTATGAATTTGGATAGCAAGGCAAATTATCTTTTAGGCCTGGTAAATGGGGATATAATCTAAATGATCTCAATGCATAGTTTGGACAAAATCCTGGCAATAAGGGTTATGACAGTTTTGTCCAAAGCTTAAACATGTTAAATGCTAGGGGGCTAAGTAATGAATTGATTATATGAAATTTAGCATACTTAGCATGTATATAAATACGATTTCGCATACATTAGAAGATTTGATCATTTATGATGATTAACCCTTTATTTGTATCCTAATAATTATCTGTAATAGCTTATAGCTTAAGTACAACTTATCCTTAACAGTTTACAGTTTAGGTCAGCCAATCAATCAGTAAATTTTATTTCTTAATTATCTGTAATTAAAGTAAAGTTATTCTTAACAATTTATGTTAGTTGCCCTTATAAGCTTAGAACTTAGGGTTTTTTTTTTTGTTTGTTTTTTGTTTTTTGTTGTTTTTTGTTTTTCGAGACAGGGTTTCTCTGTGTAGCTTTGTGCCTTTCCTGGGACTCACTTGGTAGTCCAGGCTGGCCTCGAACTCACAGAGATCCGCCTGTCTCTGCCTCCCGAGTGCTGGGATTAAAGGCGTGTGCCACCACCGCCCGGCCTAGAACTTAGGTTTTTATGCCCATCAGTTTAGCCTTAATAATATTAAGTTTGTACTGAAGTTATTTTAATATAGAAACAGGAACTCTTATTCAAAAATATAATATATGAGGAGAGTAACAAATTAATAAATCCTTTAAGGAGTATCAAGAAATGAGATAAGCATAGTAAAACAAAGGAGGATTTTTTTTTTTTGTAGCAGCTGCACCCAGTCTGTATCAAGCCAGATAGCCACCGGAAATGGCAAGGCGAGGAGAAGGGTGGAGACGACTCACAGGCAGAAGTGAGCTGAGATGCAGATAGCAGATAGTTAGGTTCAGAGGGAAGAAGGCAGATGTTTAGGATTCCAACCCCCAAACGTCTTCGGGGGTCTGATGAATCCATACAGGTCGTAGCAGGGCGTCCCCTAAGCAGGACCTGTTTTTTTTTAAATGGGTTAATCGAAGTTCTTGTACTTGGCCAAGATTTTTGTAAATTACCAAGAACTTAAAAGTCAACCCAAAAAGAGGAAAAAGAGAGAAAAAGACACTTTTTTAGGAGAGCTGGGAGTTGCCATTAGTTTTTAAACCGGGCTCTGGCTGTGGTGTTTGCATTGTTATTTAAATGATGGCTGCTGGAGTGAGCTCCTAGTTAGCAATTTAGAAGTTTAGGCTCAAGTTGATCCTTAGATCCATTTAGTTTGAGCACAAAAAAACTTGTTTGTAGCAGGACACTGCTGCTATGGAGAACATAGTGAACTTCATTAGCTCTAGTTTACACTCTCAGGAGGTCTGGTAGTGTGATAACATTGTGTTACCTCCTTGTAAGACCCTGAATGAAGTAATGGCAGGTTTCTCCCTAAAAGGGAGGGGTTAGAATCTCTGCCGCTTATCATAGTCTGATGGTAAATGAATTTCATAAGGTTGGCAGCTTTGAAGGGTCTCCTAAATCTTTTTTTTTTTTTTTTTACTTTTTTTTACAAAAAACCTTTAGGATATCATTAACATCAATCGTCCCTTCTTGGGGAAACCAGGAACAACAGTCCTCTAAGTGACTAAAGAATTTGTTGAGGTCTTTTTTTTTTTAACGAACCCTTATCCCTCGTGTCTTGAGGGTCTCTTTAAAGCCCTTAAGGAAAAGGTAATGGGAAGAACTTCCCCATCCCATGGTTAAGCCTAAATTTAGACTAACCTCGTCCTTCCCGCTCTCCTCCGGATCGTCAAGAAAGGGTGTCGAGTCGGGCGGTCTCAACGGACGACCACCAAAAATCTCCACCAGACATCTGGGCTTTCCTGGAGAAGGACATTCAACTCCCAACGAGGCGAGGGTTGAGCCACCACGTTGGGCGCCAGTTGCCCCGGCCAGCGGGGTGTCAACGGGGGCGACCCACCTGTGGGAGAGAATGAGAGGGATGGGAGACATGAGAGAAGACAGCAAGACAGTGTGTTCTGATCAAGCTGCAAATTTTATTCTCCTCAGCAGGGCTTATATAGCATGGGAGGGGGAGGGAAGGAGGGAAGGGGTGCACGTGCCATACGTGCAGGTGAAGGGGGACGTGCAGGTGAAGGGCTACGTGCAGGTGAAGGGCTACGTGCAAGTCGTGCAAGTCGTGAGGCTGCTAGGTGGTAAGGTCACTGGTCAGGGCCCATTGATCTGTTGCTATGTTACCTGACCTGTCTGACCTGTTCTTTATCTTTGGGGGCATCTGGTTTAGGGTAGGGGCTTGTTCTCTGGCCTAGCTAATACTTTTCCATGGTCCATGTTTGGTCTCTGACAATTTAGTCTTTTCCAGACAGGGTTTCTCTGTGGAGCTTTGCGCCTTTCCTAGAACTCACTTGGTAGCCCAGGCTGGCCTCGAACTCACAGAGATCCACCTGGCTCTGCCTCCCGAGTGCTGGGATTAAAGGCATGTGCCACCACCACCTGGCTAAAGTCATATGTTTTAATTGGGGTAAACAAGCTTACCTAAAAAGGGACTGTAAACAGGGCATTCCTAGAAACAATGTTTTTTTCAAGGAACAATGGCAACAGAACGCTGCTCCCTTCTGGATTATGCTGAAGGTGTGGCAAAGACAAACACTGGATTAAGAATATAGATCAACAAGGGACAGACAAGGCAATCTTTTGACTTTGCCATCAAGAAACTCCCTGAGGGGCCGCTTGCAGGCCCCCACGACAAATTCAGTTTATCATGGAAGAAACACCTTCTCTGAGCAATTAAAGAACCCAATGCCTATTGTAAAAAACCATACCACTCTGGATGATAGAACAGCTATAGAAGAGAGAACAAAAAATTTAGGAGAAACCATAAATCAAAATTGATAAAGATTAGATTTGGAATCTCCCCAAAGTTAGGGTTGGGAAAGGATTTTGTTTTTTGTCTTTCAGGAGAATGAAGGCTAAGGAATCTGAAGAACACTGGATAAATGAGACATCTGCAGAAAAAGGACAAATCACCCAGAAAAAAATGTCCCAAGAAAAAGATTGTCTACCATGAACCATGACCACACCTAAGAGTGACCTTTGAAGTCTCCAAAAAGATTATGGAACCCCACAAGGACAATTGCATCAGGATGATGATAATGCCACTAAGCTGACAAACATCACCCAAAGATCAGCTTTGGTCTACAAACTGCTCAGGACAATTTCAAGATGGCTAGCTGAGATGGTCCAGCCTCACAGACTACTGGAGCAAGGACTTGAGACAAGCCCTGCACTTTCCCATTATGCAGAGACTAGACAACAAATGATACAGCTACTTCTCCCAGGACTTGACAATTAATCCAAAAATTTTCTTTTCAGGATCCCCTAAAGATGCCTTCACCCTCAGACAGCAGGAAGTAATTGTAAGAACATGATGCCCACATTCCCAAGAGGTGAAATGGGTGGTTTTTGGTCTTTCAATGGGTTATAGATAATTGTCATTGTTTAGGATGGTTGGTTATAGGTTGTTAATTGTTAATGGTCAGGGAAAAAGCTAAACAAAAGAGATTAGATTCAGGGTTCTTGTTTGAAGAAAAGAAAAAGAAAAAGAGATATAGATAAGAAGTAGATTATTGAATTTACTCTGATAAAAAAGGGGCTGGAGAGATGTCTCAGAGGATAAGAGCACTGACTGCTCTTCCAGAGGTCCTGAGTTCAATTCCCAGCAACCACATGGTGACTCACAACCATCTGTAATGAGATCTGGTGTCCTCTTCTGGCCTGCAGTCATACATGCTGTATACATAATAAATAAATAAATATTTTTAAAAAATATTTTACATTGGATTGGATTTTTGCATATTGTATACAAATTATGTATATTGATACAAATTTGAGATTGATTTTGTTAGAAAATACTGTATATATATTTCTAATCTTGTTCTAGGTATTGTACCTATACAGCTCATTTAACAATGTAATGCAAATTGCTAGTCCTGGAAAGTTATTATTACCAACTAATTAGGATATAAGAAATGCTAGTTAATAGTCATTACAATCAAACCTGTAGTCCTATTAGGTATGTTTTCAAGGTTTAAAAGAAATATATTTTAGATACACAGGTCATCTTCAAACACTTCAGAGATCTACAGAATATGGCATTTAAGATGTTTTAATAACATAGATGCTTTTTTTTTTTCATGACAATGAGACATGTCTGCTCCTGGCAGCACCAATATACTTCAGAGAAGATGATGGACATTGAAGAAACTCCACATGGAGTTTACTTTCTTTGTGGCAAGTTAGCCACTGGGCAAGAAAATGCCCTTGCCTTGACAGCTGACAGTATGCTGTCCAAATGGACAAGCAGGACACAGAAGAAAGGACTGCTGATCCTTGTCAAGACAAGGTAGGAAGGCCCTTTAGAAAATCCTGCTTCAAAGATGAGTCTGTCAGATATGCTAGGCCTGTAGGCTGAAGATGGATGCCCCAACATTGCAGAGGAACCTTGCGTGACTGTCCAGGCAGTCAGCTGTTTCTGTCATTTCTCACATTTTTTGGAAGTCGCTTGTTTGTACTTCCTTTTTACTCAGTCAATGTTTTTTCCTTCTCGGGTCTCTGAGGGAGTTGAAGATTAGAAAATTATAGTTATAGTTTTCCTTGTTAACAAATTCAGGAAAGAAACTCACCGAAGAGGTGCAAAGTTTATAAGATTGAAAGACATCAAAAGATAGTTTTGGCTGGTAATACAAGTTAGGACAGAAAGTGAATTAGGTACATTTGGGACTCACAAAAATAGGATAAATAATGGAGTATTTTCTCTGAATTTGTCAAATGCAAATGGACTGGACATGGTTAATGTAATTCTTGATTGTATATATTGTATATACTAATTGTACATAGTTTTTCTTGTATTAGTTATAACTTCTTTATTATTTTAGACAAAAAAGGGGAAATGTGGTGATATATTGTGTAACCTAATAAACTTGCCTGTGGATCAGAGGACAGAGCCTGCCACTAGATTAGACATAGAGATCAGACAGTGGTGGCACATACCCTTAATCCTATCACTCAGGAGGCAGAGATCTGTCTGAATCTCTGTGAGTTCAAGGCCACACAGGAAACAGAGCCAGGCAGTGGTGGCACACACCTTTAATCCCAGTACTGGGAAGCACACACACCTTTAATCCCAGGAAGTGATGTCTGGGCAGAGAAAAGTATGTAAGGCGTGAGGAAACAGGAACTCACTCTCTTTAGGCTGAGGATTTCATAGAAGAAAGAACTAGTGGCTGGCTGCTCTGCTTCTCTGATCCTTCAGCTTTCAGCCTGATATCTGGCTCTGGGTTTTTTATTAAAAGACCATCTAAGATTTGAACAACAGAAACATTGGATATTTGAAGCCAAGGGCTGGAGCTACATCTCCAGTGAGAGAACGCTTGCTGGCAGGGGTGAAGCCTTGTGCTCCATTCCCAGCAGATCTCCATCCAACATCAAACCCAGCATGCAGCACACTCCATAACACGAGAAATCAGAAGCTCAAGGTCCTTTTCAGCCATAGAGCTGAGTTCAAGATCAGCCTGGGCTACATTAGGCAGGCTGTCCCAAACACACACACACACACACACACACACACACACACACACACACACGCACACACGCACACACGCACACATGTGCACACGAGGGGGGAGCAGAAAGAGCTGACAAAACTGATTTTTAAAGTGAAAGAGTCAAAGTCTAAGAATCTTTTAAAATAAAAGCTTTGAAACATTGAAACTCTTACCAGGCTGGCCACAAATTCTCAGCCTGGCCCATCCTCCCGAGTGCTGGGCTTACAGACATCCACACCCAGCTAAGATCAATACTTTAATGTCAAAGCTACCCTCATAAGTGTGAACAAATATGTCCACCCATGCTATTTCCCCCAGTTCCTCCTCCCTCAGCACCTGGCTTTGTGTCTGTGAATTTGAATATTCCAGATATCTCGTGTAAGTGGACTCCTTTTGTGTCTCGCTTACTTAACATCTTATGGATTCATCCACATTGTACCATGTATCAGAATTTCATTTTTAAGTTTGAATAGTCATTTCATTTTACGTACATACCATGTATTATCTGAGCTTCCATCAATGTACGTTGGGTTGTGTCCAAGTTAGTTTTTTGTCAAATTGACACAAGCTATGTTGGAGAACCCTGCATTTAAGGTTGCAGTTCACCGTGTCTAGATAGCTCTCTGAGCTCGGTGCAATATGGAGGACTCCCTTTCTCTGCCTGGCCATATTTGGAGAGTCTCTAGGCTCCAATGCCTGACCTCATTTGGAGGACGACTCTGCACAGAGCTCCGTGCAAACGCTGTGTGACTCAACCCTGTTTCCCCCTTCCTCTCACACACTCTAGTGTTTGTATTGGTGCATCATTAACATTTGTCTGTCCTCAATTAAGTCCACGTATGCAAACTCGGTGTAGTTTCTCCCTTGTCCATTTGTCCTCCCCTCCACTGTGACTCAAGCTGTGTAAATTAGCCCCATTGCTCCCATAAACTGAGCCGTGTCACAGGAGGTGACTCCAGAAAGTTCTTTGCATGCTCACAGCCATCCACACCCTGTTGACTGCTTCCGCTCCCTTTGTCCTCAGGGGCTGGTGACCAACGATCCACACGAAAAGGGAGACTCCACAAAGCTAATGTTATGTGGAAAGAAGAGCCTCAGTTGAGAAAATTACTCTGGATCACCTGTAGGCAAGCCTGTGGGGTATTTTCTTTATTAATTGTTGACTTGGGAGGGTCCAGACCACTGGGGTGGTACCAACCATGGGCAGGTGGTCCTGGGGTAGATAAGAAAGCTCGCTGAACAAGCCATGGGAAGCAAGCCAGTAAGCAGTATTCATTCACGGCCTCTGCTTCATGCCGACTTCTCTTCACGGTGGGCCACAAGCAAACAGCACTGACTGTTGGGTCTTGCTGTAACTCTTGGTCCCTCTGCGTTAGCTCCCTAAATTCTAGGATTCCAGGGGTGTGCCATCACGCTTGACCCCAGCTTTCAGGTTTTGCTGTTGTTTTGTTTTGTTTTGTTTGATTGACTGGTTTTGGTACATACCCAGAAGCTGAACTGCTACGCCACATGGTCTTTTTAAAGACCTTTTTTTTTCTAATGTATGTTTGTGCCTGGTGTCCCCAAAGAGGGCATCAGATACCCTGGAACTGGAATTATGGATGATTGTCAGCCACCATGTGGGTGCTGAGAACTGAACCCCGGTCCTCTGCAAGAACACCCAGTGCTCTTACCTGCTGAGCCACCTCTCCAGCCCCACTGTGTGTTGGAGTTCTGTTGTTTCTTAAGATAGGGCTCTGGAAACTGAACTTCTGGAAAAGCAACCAGTGCTCTTACCTGCTGAGCAGGCTCTCCAGCCCCACCCCACCCCACCCCCAGTGTGGTATTTTTGAAAAACAGTCTTGATGTTCCCATGTTCCCATGACTGGACCATTTCATTTTCCCGCCACCAAGGCACGAGTGATCTAGTTGATCCACATCTCATAGCGCTCTCCTCTTTTAAAAATGAACTTTTCTTTGTGAGTTTGAGGCCAGCCTGGGCTACAGAGCGAGATCCAGGAAAGGCGCAAAGCTACACAGAGAAACCCTGTCTCGAAAAAGCAAAAAAAAAAAAAGAACTTTTGTTTGTTGAGAAGGGTCTTGCTGTGTAGCTTATGAAGAACAAACTATAAAAGAGAAGATTATGTGGGTGGGGTGGTTGTGAGCTGAGCTTGCTTTTCTTTTTTTTTTAGGTGAGAGCGTCCTGTTTCAAATCAATATGAAAATGTCCAAACATAAAGAAAAATTAAAATAAGTATGCTGACGATAACCATGTACTATCATTTATTTATGCCACAGATGCCAAGAATACTCACATCGGGCTGGAGAGGTGGCTCAGCCCCTGAAGAATGCTGACTACCCTTGCAATTCCCAGCACCCACGTGGTGCTTCACACCCACCTGCAACTCTCGTCCCCGAGATCTGGCCTCCAAGCATCCTGCGCACACACAGTGCACAGACCTGCTCACACAAAATGATAAAACAATGAAAACATTTTAAGAGCATACTACTATCTGAGGCAATGGTGGTCTCAGTTATAGTGAAAGTAGTTTACTTTTGTTTCTGTTTTGTTGACTAGTTTATGGAGCAAGGTTAAATTTTGTCAAATGGATCAGTTCTCCAGAAGGTTTTTTAATTATTGACTCATTTACTGTACATATGTACAGGCGTTCACATAGAGAGCCGAGAGCAACACGTGGGAGTTGATTCTCTCTCCATCTTGTGAGTCCTGGGGATCAAATTTGAGTCATCAGGTCAATGACAAGCATGTCTGCCTGATGAGCACCCTGCCAGTCCCCTGTTCTGGAAGTGTGATGTATTGTGTTGGCCATTTTCATATGTTGAAATGTCCTAGAATCCAAGAATGAATCCCCCTGGCTTGTAGGGTTATAATCCTTTCAATATGCTGCTGAGTTCCACTTAATTGTTGAGAATGTTCATATTGGGTTTCACAAGAGGCATGGTCTTTAGCTTTCTTATACTGTCTTGTCTAGCCTTGGTAGTGAGGACAGAAAGGACAGCCAATATTTTGGGCTTTGATCTCCAAGGTCCGCCAGGACCCAGGGAACAATGGTATCTCCACAAACAACCTTACTACCCCGATAAGACACCTAGTGCCCAGCCAGAGGGGGCACTGAGCTGCCCAGTGGAACTCTAAGCAGGGGACAACCTGCAGGGAGGGCAGTCTTTGGAGAGGGACCTGGTTCCTATGCTTCCAAGGGAAGCCACATGCTCAGCAAGACCCTGACCTGACCCGGAAGATGGCATAACTGGTAGGAGGGGCACTAAAGGGTAGGGGCGCATACCTTATTGCCAACACAGGAAAGGCAGGGCAGGGAGATCTCTGCAAGGCCAACCTGGTCTACATAGTTCAAGGCCAACCTGGTCTACATAGTGAGTTCTAGGCCTGCTAGGGATACAGTGAGACCCTGTCTCAAAACAAAACAACAACAGGGAGAGAGAGAGAGAGAGAGAGAGAGAGAGAGAGAGAGAGAGAGAGAGAGATACTAAATGAACCAGAGAATCTATCTTAAGTCCTCACAGGTAGCACTTATGGAATCTCAGCTGACTTTTAAAATAAACAAACAAAAGTTATATATGGCCTTGGGGCTAGAGAGATGGCTCAGCAGTTGAAAGCCCTGGCTGCTCTTCCAGAGGACCAGGGTTCAATTCCCAGCACCCATATGGCAGCTCACAACTGTCTTTAACTCCAGGATCTAACACCCTCACACAGACATACATAGAGGCAAAACAACAATAAAGAAAAAGTTACGTATGGCCATCTATGTGGTATTAAATACCTAACAGGAAGATATAACCAAACATGATTCTAAACTTAATTCTACTAGCTTTGGCCAACTTGATAGGGACCATCTATCAAATTCTAGAAAATTACTAATTAGAGTCACTTGTCCAGGATTAAACCCAATTTTCCAGAAAACACTCAAAATGAGAAGCAAGAAAAACCTAACAGAACAATAAAGTAATTGAGTACTTGCATTATTTCCCCAAGAGGGACCCCAAAGATCAGATGCAGATAAGTGAATCTATGGTACCATACCCATAGCCCCCAACTATCAAAATTATTCTCGTGGGACAGGTCACAGCAACATTCTCTAAGATGCCACTTAGTGCACAGGAGAGAGAGCTCAGGGGCTGAGAGCACTGGATTTGATTCCCAGCACCCACATTAGTAGCTCACAGCCATCTAGTTCCAAGGGACCTTGTGTGGCCTCCATGGGCACAAGATATACACACATGGTGCACAGATCTACATGCAGGCAAAATACCCATACACATAAAATTAAATGAGTAAAATAAATTGATTAGATTTGTTTCTTCCAGAATTCAACAAATTGTTGTACAATGGAAACAATGCCCATCATTCCAAGACATTCTAAGGTACGGTGCCCTACACTGGATAGTGCGATTTTAGTTTGTTTTGTCTTTGGTCCTTGCTCATAACTTCAAATGATGCTTACTAAGGGATACCAACCCCTAACCTACTCAGACCTTCTGGATCACCAGAAATCCCTGACTCTGGAAACTAAATGTACCACCTCTCCTTAGCATAAACTCCAGTGAGGGACACTTCCGACATACATTTCTGTCCTACTGGAAATAGCCATAGTGGTGACTGCCCTCTTACCCTATAAATTGAATCTGAAAAACCTTGAATGTGAGTAATGTTATCATAAAAGCAAATGTGAATTAAAATTTTAGGATTAGCTGTGTGGTGGTGGCACATGCCTTTAATCCCACTTAGGAGGCAGAGGCAGGCAGATCTCTGTGAGTTCGAGGCAGCCTGGTCTGTTATACAGAGAAACCTTGTCTTGAAAAAAAAAATGTTAGGGTTAAAACAGATCAAAGAGACTGAAGGGGCAGGGTCCTGCAGCTGATACAGTAGCCTAGCTAACCAGAAAAGATAAAGGAGGAGGCACTAACAATAACAAAGCCTCGGCAGAAAACTCAGTCTTGCTTTAATCAATCTACCTTTTGTCTTCATGCTAATTATAGTTCTAAGTTTTTTTGTTTTTTGTTTTGTTTTGTTTTGTTTTAACAAAGGTGCTAGAGAGATGGCTTAGCAGTTAAGAGCACTTGCTGCTCTTCCAGAGGAACTGGGTTCAGTTCCCAGCACACATATCAGGCAGCTCACAACCTCTATAATGCCAGTGTCAGGGGACCTGATGCCCTCTTCTGGCCTCTGTGGGTACTGCATGCATGTGAAGCACACACTTACATGCAGACAAACACTCGCATATAAAAGACTAGAGTTCAATTCTTGGCACCTATATCAGGCAGCCCACAACCACTTGTAACTCCAACTTTAGGGGATCCAACTCCTCTGGGCTATACACATACACAAAATAGTAAAAACTAAAAAAAAAAAAAATCTTTTAAAATTGGTTATAAAACAACCTAATAGATATTTTTAATGTTCTATAACAAAACATGAACAATTTAAGGGCTGAATACAATATAAATTACATTAGTAAATTGTCATGTGCTTACCAAGAAGGGGGCTCTGGGATTAAGGAAGACCCTCTTCTCCTGGACTCCAGCATGTTTATTTCGAATGTCCTCCAAGACTCTCTGTAAGGCAGGCTGGACCACTAACTCTGTGGCAGAGAGAAAGGAACGTAGCTAGGGGTTATTTGCTAAAGGCCACAGAAATATGAAGTAGGAATTCAGCTGACTACGGCAAAGCTATTTATTACCTGGAAGAGTCAAGAATTTTTCCAGAGGAAGCTGAGGCTTGGTATTATTTAGCTTTTTAATATGTCAGCTGTTTTCTGTTATGAATTTCATGTATACTATCATAGCTTCCACAATTGATTCTTTTCCTAAGAACTTCTAAAGAGTGTGGAGTGATCATTCCTTGGGCATATACAATCAAGGTATTTGGACACAGTCACGGGGGCAAGGCTTCCTGCTTCTGGGCTTTTCAGCATTAGAACCAGATGTCTGCTTTCTGCAATTATCTTCTTTAGCAAGCATCCAAAGCCAGGGCCAGCTTGGGACAAAAACATTTGATCTGAGATACCCAGCTAACATCCAAGGACAAACAGCAGACAGAGTAAGCTTTCCAGACCACCTGCTGGCCTCCTAAATTAAGGTAAATATCCATATGGAGACACCACCTAGGCCAGGCGGACAAGGCAGATGTTAAGTATAAAGCTTTGCTTATTGTGCAAATTAAGCTCAGACCCTACTTTCTTCCTCTGGCCAAGTGGCACCCCCAGAGTTCCCCTCCAACAATTAGCTCAGAACAAAAGGGCTTTTTTCTTACCAGGTGCATTCAAGCTATGATGCAGGTTTCCCAGCCCCAGAGCAGACTTACCCCGATAGAGAAAGTGGAGGGGCAGAGATTTGCTGACTATAGGTGTATGGAGACCAGTCATTGGGAAGAGGAGAGGAAGGAACAAAGATGGAGACTGGAATGAAGACGAAGATGAGAACGAGATGGAAAGAACTTAGAACTATGAGAGGACAGGAGGAGAAGGGCAGAGAGGAGCTAAGTATGAGAACAGAATTGAAGCTGTGTAGACAGAATTTTGTCTTAGAAGAATAAAATGAATGGACTAAAGAGTTTCATGTAAGTAGATTCATTTGATATCCCTCAGATTAGTATCCCTGCTACTTGTAGCATCCTCCCCAGGACTCTGGGAGAAATCTCCTCAGGGCAGGCACCTGAGGGGGTTTCCACAGGTATTGAAAACATCACACCCCTGAGAACAGCTAGAAGGAAAATCATTTCTGTCAGGTATGACTATTGTTTATCTCTTGGTATTAAACTGTCTACATGAGAACAGGAAGTCTCAGCTTTCCATGGTGAGAACTCTGCTCTGCCCAGGACTCCAGCATGATTGATGTTGTAAGTGCCCATTTTGATGATGTCTTATGGTCTATCTACTATTTCTACGTGCTTTGTGCTATTTTTTTTCTTGTAATTTTACTTGCTATGAAATTAATACGCTCACTCATTCAAAGAAGAAAGTGTGACCGTTGTAGTTCATCCTCCATACAGAACACAGGGTACTGTCAGTCTCACAGAATCTACCCTCTCTGATTCTTATGGAATGCTTTGAGGAGGATTAGGTAGAATTCCCAAGTGAAGCCATGTCATTAGACCCTCTTTTGTGGGGAAGTTTTCGGTTGCTGATTTAGTCTTACTGTAGATTTATCCAGATTTTCTGATTCTTCATGATTTAGACACAACAGCTTTTGTGTTCTTGGAATTTTCTTATTTCATCCAAGTTAGCCAATTTTTTAGCATAAAGTTTTATGCTATTCTCTTTTTTTAATCCTATTTTATTGTCTTACATGTATGTATGTGTGTGTGTGTTAATGTGGGTGCAGAAGAGGCAGTGGGATGCCCTGGAGCTGGAGTTATAGGTGAGTGTGAGCTGCCTGATGTAGGTGCTGGAAACCAAACTCCAGTCCTCTGAAAAGAGCAACCAGTGCTCTCAACACTGGGCATCCCTCCAGCCAAGTGCTCCCTTACAGTCCTTCTGTATTTTTGCTGAATTGGCTGTAATATTCTGCACTGAATAAGTTTTGAAGCAGGCATATTTGGCTAGGCTCTGGAGAGACACCTCTGGGTGACCGTAGCCTCACTGAGCCTTGTCTGATGTGTTTAAAATAGGATTCAAAAATCAAATTTGGGTATCTCCCAGTTTTCCAGAACTATATTGACAGTACATACAAATTTACGTCATGGATCTCCACATTACATTCAGTGAAAGGCCTTAAGGGAAGGCTTATCAGCTCCCAGGCATGACGGTACCCTGTCTGCCTCAGCCCTGTCTGTGTTGATGATCCTGGAAACAGGAGCTGCTCGCAGAAGTGAACCTCCCTCTGAACTGCTTTGTAGCTCACACTCACACTCAGGCCTGAACATGGCCCACCCCCTTCACCATGAGGCGTGGTGGTCCACACAGAGTGCCAGTGTCAGGGACACTGTTTGGGGTTTGCATATGTATATACCTTTATGGCCATTAGTAGATCAAAACAAATTATTTCTCTCTCCTCAGAAGCAGCCTTTATGTGTAGAAGACAGGAGCAGATTCCAGGTCTCACAGCCACATGGAACAGGAAGTGTGGTTGGTATAAGCTATGTGCCTTCATGTAGGAGTGTGGACTGGAAGAGTCCTCCAGTCATTGTCCTGACTCTTAGGAGTGGTACCAATGTCCTCAAGTTGTGCAAAATTGGCCTCCACCCCCCTACACACACACATACACACACACACACACACACACACTATCCAAAGATGAAGAGGTGAAAGTCCCTGATTTCTGAAGGAGACACTGCTGCTCTAGTCCAGTCAAAGACCTCTTCCGTGATATGAAGGTGTCCCCTCCAAAATTCACCTTAGACACTGTCCCCTGTGCAGCAGTGCTGGGGTCTTTGGATGGTGTTCAGCAGAGCCCGTGTGGGTTAAACTGTCACAAATAAGGGTTTGTGGAAGAGTCTGTGCTCTGCTACACAGACATGGAGTACACTGCATAGAATGTTCCTTCCTCAGGGAGTACGAGGCAAGGCACCGGGTAGAAGAAAGGTGCCCGGCTCTAACCTGCCTCAAGCTTCTACCTTCCAGAGCTGTAAGGAACTCATCTCTGTCCACAACATACTATCCATGTGTGGTCTGAAGTAATAACACCAAGTGGACCAGTCCCCCAGCCAGACTCACCTCAACCTCTGTAGCTACAGTTGGCTGTATCTGCGACTTCCTTCTTTGCTTTACAACAGGGTGGTTTTTTTGAGACAGGGTTTCTCTGCAGCTTTGGAGCCTGTCCTGGACTAGCTCTGTAGACCAGGCTGGCCTCGAACTCACAGAGATCCACCTGCCTCTGCCTCCCGAGTGCTGGGATTACAGGCGTGCGCCACCACCGCCCGGCTCTACAACAGGGTTTTAATATGTGCTATTTTAAACATAATCCTTGGCCGGGGTGGTGGTGGCGCACGCCTGTAATCCCAGCACTCGGGAGGCAGAGCCAGGCGGATCTCAGTGAGTTCGAGGCCAGCCTGGTCTACAGAGCGAGATCCAGGAAAGTTGCAAAGCTACACAGAGAAACCCTGTCTTGAAAAACCAAAAAAAAAAAAAAAAACCAAAAAACAAAAACAAAAACAAAAAAACCATAATCCCCCCGCCTCAGCCCCCATCACCCCAATTGCTGGATTAGGATTGCAGGCCTGTGCTACCATGACCAGTATTGTTACACTCAAATTGCTTTCATATAGGAAAATCCAGCTCTACCCTTACGGTCCCTACCATGGGCATCACTCACCTCTACCTGGTTGGGTCAGGCTGCGTTCGTCTTCTGACTTAGCATCTTGTTCTATTCCTGCTTCCTTGAGCTGTGGCCTTCACAGTATCTGGCTGTGAGTCTAGGAGGCCAGCACAGTGAGATGGGATAAGTAACATAGGCCATTACATTCTCTTAAGGAGAAAAGTCCTTAAGGATACACAGGATTTTTCCTATAAAAATCCCCTATAGAGAAGGATTTTTATAAGAAAATCTAAAAAAAATCTATAGGGGATTTGTATAAGAAGGTGGGTTGGTTGAACACATCCACAAAAAGAGCAGTCAATGAGGGTTAAGTTGGGAGAAGAAAGCGGGAATCTGGAAAATCCTGGTCTAAAAAAATGGCCAAGACAGCGCCGAGTGAGCGCCACCCCACGCCTCAGAGAACAGCTGTAATGCACAGACCACAGGTTAGTGGCCTTCCTGCCTCCAGATCATGGTCTCCAGCTCAACAGTTCCATGGTTCTGTGATGTCACTGAGGAGAGAAGAATGGAGAGCTGGGTCCGCCTCCAGCTGCTCCAAGTCTTCTCTCCTTTGGGTTTTGGCAATTTTGGGGTGAGGGGATGTGAGCTGAGTGAGCAGAGTATCCCATCTTAGTCTCCCCTCTGGCCACCGCAGCCCCTTACTGCCTTTATGAAGAAAAATTAGGCAACGTGAGTCGCCTCCACCAAAACAAGCCAGCCATCCTCTATGAAGCCCCCCGAGCAGAGGGTCAACAAAGAAAACAGTCTTTTATTCTTCTGTTTCTAGAAAACGTAAATAACAAGAAATCTGCATTCAAACTGGGCCAGGAAAGAATGTTTGGACAAAATGAGGATTACAGGATGGACGAGATTTTGAAAACGAACCCTATGGCCTTTGAGACCACGGCAATCACGTTCTTCATCATCCTTCTCATTTGCTTCCTCTGTATCCTCTTTTTGCTGGCGGTGTTTTTATATAAATGGTACACACCCATGTTGATGACCGGGTTAGGCTTCAAGTCACAGTAGCACAAGTATCTAGAAATAACACAAAATCACTGTAAAAAGAACAAGGAAGACAAGCAGGCGGTACACACCTGTGATCCCGGAATTGGGAGGTGGAAGCAGGATTAGTGATTCAAAGTTGTTCTATATCACAACATAGAGACTTCAAGATCGACCTAGGCTATGAGAGACCCTGTTTCAAAGACCCAAATAAAATGGAATAAGCAATGGCTACTTCTTCCACTTCCGGGTTTTAAAAGTGCCAGTTCCCTGGTAAAAGTCCCATCCTGCACCTTAGACTCTTCTTTTTTGAAGTTTTACTTGTTATTTTTAGTTTCAGAGGCAAGAACACTGATGAGCCGGGGAAGCTCCCTTGCTCTGATGAAAACGAAGGGGAAGACTGTTTGGCTGCCAATGCAGAGAACAAACCCGAAGATGATGACAAGTGAGTAGTGAGGCCAGGGCTCAGTGGGAAGATGGCTTGCTGCTGAGGCGTGACAGCCTGAGTTTGGCTCCTCAGCACCCCCACAAAAAGCCAAGTGTGACAGCAACATCTGTAACCCCAACTGAGGGCAGAGACAGGAGATCCCAGCCAGCCTAGAGGAGCTGTGAGCCTTAGGTTCAGTGGCTGTCTTAAAAAACAAGGTGAAGAAATGACATCCAGATGACAGCTAACAACCTCTGACCTCTGTACACATCCAGTCAGATAAGCGCACACACACACACACACACACACACACACACACACACACACACACACACACCCCAAAACAAAGTAAGTCTGGATATGCTAGCCATTTTTACATGTGGTAATGTTGACTAAGATGCATGAATTTTTAAAAACTGTTAATGATTTTCCCAGGGTCCTACTGCACTTTGTAAACATGGACATGCCAATGAGACCTGGTATTCTTGTCCAAAGACAGAGTAAGGAAGCCACGCCCTTAGGAGAGAACATCGAAGGAGATGACAGAAACAGACAGACATTAGAGGCTGTGAATGCTCAAGAAGCCACCTACGAGGTGACGTGTGTTCTGCTCGGGGGGCTGTTTAGGTTTGAGGAGAGAGTCACCCATGTAGGGATAATAATAGATATGGTATCGTCTTGCCAAGCTGGAGGCTTTTCCTTTTTATTCTTTTTTTTTTTTTTTGACAGGGTTTCTCTGTGTTGCCCTGGCTGTCCTGAAACTCACTCTGTAGACCAGGCTGGCCTCAAACTCACAGAGTCCACCTGCCTCTGCCTCCCGAGTGCTGGGATTAAAGGCGTGTGCCACCACCGCTTGGCCATCTTTCAATTATTATGTTCCTGTTTTTCTTAATATTTTCCCTTCCTTTTGTTTTTTTTAGATTCCTGGGATCTAGAGCTATAAAAGCCCCTGTGAGTTATCTAGGATCTAAACTTCATGTCACATGAAAAACTGAGATGCGTGTCTATTTTTCCACTGCTGCTGAGTCCAGGACAAGCCCTCTGTTCTTGTTACAGTCCTTGACATTGGCACTCAATCCCTTCCAGAACTTTCGTGAGCTCCCGCCATGCCTCCACACCCTATCCAAGACAGAATGCTGGGCCATATTGCTCTCAGCTTTGACTACATGCCATCAAATACTATTAGGCCACATCAGTGTATGCTTCTCTAGCTGTAGGAATCTGGCAGCCAGGCATGGTGGATTATCACTGCTGCCTAAGCCATTCAAAAATACTTTTTTCTATCTCTTTTTTTTTTTTTTTTTTTGGTTTTTTCGAGACAGGGTTTCTCTGTGTAGCTTTGCGCCTTTCCTGGAACTCACTTGGTAGTCCAGGCTGGCCTCGAACTCACAGAGATCCGCCTGGCTCTGCCTCCCGAGTGCTGGGATTAAAGGCGTGCGCCACCACCGCCCGGCTTTTTTCTATCTCTTGTTCAAAATGTACATTTAACAGTGCTTTAAAACATGGGCTCATTATGTTCATAGGTCGGGCATTTATATGGTCTGTCCCATTCTCATTGCAGGATGATAATGCTGAGAAAACACCCATGCATGTCCACAGAACTCCTTCAGTTATCGAAAGCCAAAAAAGACCTTTAAAAGGAGTGACGTTTTCTAAGGAGGTAATTGTTGTGGATCTTGGAAATGACTACCCCACAGCGCGAAGCTATGCTCGAGAACATAAAGAGAGGAAGTGAGGTGCACAAAAGGCTGCCGGGAGAGAAATGTAACCTTTGAGTAGTGCTGGACTGACTGAGGGTACTGGGTCGTGTCAGAGCAGCAGAATGATGGGAAAAGAGCAAATACACACGGTATTTTACCTTAGTCAGAAAGACGTGAACTGTGAAAAACTCTATGTAAAATGCTGAGCTCGAATATCGTTTTTAAAAATCAAATCTGAGTTTGGTAAGTTGATATAATAAATGTCCTTAAACATCTGACTACCACAGCAATATTGTGTTTGTGTGGGGGTGTTGGGAGGCCAACTTTGGATGCTGTGATCACAGGCATTCATGATCAGATGTCATCACGGGAACCCCGATAACTAGGTCTGGAGTCCTCTGTGCATTGAAAACAATCCAGAACTTTCCTTGTACTAACCACTGCATTATAAGATTGACTCAAAAAACAAACTACTAGCAACAAAATATACTGCTAAATTTGGCAAACCTTAGAATTAAGCCAGTCTTGATTTCTGTCATTTGAAATTATTGTGGGCACAGTGATACACGCCTGGGTCACTACCTGGGAGGACAACATCAGGAGATTTCTTTTCTTTTTTCTTTTTTTCTGGAGCTGAGGACCGAACCCAGGGCCTTGTGCTTGCTAGGCAAGTGCTCTACCACTGAGCTAAATCCCCAACCTTTTTTTTTAGTTTTTGAGACAGGGTTTCTCTGTGTAGCTTTGGTGCCTGTCCTGGAACTCACTTGGTAGCCCAGGCTGGCCTCGAACTCACAGAGATCCGCCTGGCTCTGCCTCCTGAGTGCTGGGATTAAAGGCGTGCGCCACCACCGCCCGGCTGAGATTTCTTGAGTCTAGCGTGTGAAGAGTCTCACACTCTAATCTTGAGTGTGAGACCAGCCTAGGCAACACAGCAAGACTCCATCTCTAATCAACGATACAAACATGTTGTCCAAATGTGGGATATGGCAGTACAAACCTCCAGAGGACTGAAGTAATCGTGAGTGAAATGTGTCAGGGTATAACAGCAAACACCAGCTGGCAGCCCTGGCTCCGGGGCTCCACACTTCGGAAGTGGAGATGGTAGCGAGCACTGCTGAAGTCGGACACGTGACTGCTGTACGTGGGTCCTGAATAGCATGCAAAGCCAAGAGAACACGGAAGACATGGCCCAGACATGGCGGTGTGGAAAGTTTGCTGCTTAGAGCTAAGGGCGACTGGCGGGAGAGTTGGGGGGTAACTAGGATGTACTGAGCAGGTGGCTGTTGGGGTTCCAAGCAAGGCAGGAGCACTGTAGGAGAACGGATTAAATGTTCTGGGCTGGGAGGAGAAGTGTGTAGAAATATTCACAGTCTCTGCTCTCAACAAACATTTTAACATTTTACCTAAAACTGACACTAAAATTTTGACTTTTACTATGGTAAAACACACATGTAACTTCCTGTTCAGTGGTGCTCACTGTTGCTCAATCATCACCATCCATTCACAGAAATCATCGGATAAAACTGGAACATTGCCCCCCAGTGTCAGTTCCCAGTCCCTCTTCCCTGTCCCAGTGCCAGGACTTGATCTCCGTGAAGCAGACTATTCCACACACCTAACACAAGTAGAGTGTATGTGTGTTTCCTTCTGTGGCGGGCTTGTGTCATTTAGCACAAGGTCCTCACAGCTGATTTAGGTGTTGCCACCTTCCCTGTGAAGCTGAAGGACATTGCATTTGTGTATACACCATGCTGAGCTCAGCCGCCATCCGCTGATAGATAGTGGGGCTGGCTCACCCTCCATCCATTCATGGACAGTGGGTCTAGCTCACCCTCCATCAGTTGATGGAAAGTGGGGCTAGCTCACCCTCCATCCATTGATAGACAGTGGGGCTAGCTCACCCTCCATCCATTCATGGACAGTTGTCCTGCTCACCCTCCATCCATTCATGGACAGTTGTCCTACTCACCCTCCCTCCATTGATGGACAGTTGTCCTGCTCACCCTCCATCCATTCATGGACAGTTGTCCTACTCACCCTCCCTCCATTGATGGACAGTTGTCCTGCTCACCCTCCATCCATTCATGGACAGTGGGGCTAGCTCACCCTCCATCCATTGATGGACAGTTGTCCTGCTCACCCTCCCTCCATTGATGAACAGTGGGGCTAGCTCACCCTCCCTCCATTGATGGACAGTGGGGCTAGCTCACCCTCCCTCCATTGATGGACAGTTGTGTTGCTTTCATCTTGGGACTATTGTAGTGATGCTGTTAGGAATATTTACCACTTAAGGGAGAGTTCAGACTTACCCACATATCTATATTGCTGTGTGTTCCAATACAAGTTTGTAGTTTCGATGTCTGTGTCCACCTTTGCATTTATGGAACCAGGTTACTTCATCCTAAACTGATGAGAACAGAAGTGAAATTAATACTTAAATGGTATGTCTGAGTCAGAGCATTTCCTATAGTAGTCAAGGCTTTGTGAAAGTTCCATCAGTAGTTGTTATGGTCTAGGCACACAGGCTTCCAGAAGGCCACCAGCCTCTGGACTGTAACACAAACAGCGATGTGGTCAACAACAACATATGGCACTTACCGTTAATTAAATTTCATTCGTTTGGTGCTGCTGTTTGCATTTTACTTGGGTTTGGTTGTATTTTGGAGTCACAAGGTTCTATTCATCAAGACCTAGGCTTACATTTCTACACATTTAGGTAGAACAGTGACAAACAGTTTAAAGCAGTAGTCAGGGCAGGGATCCATGGAGACCATCTTACATCGCCTCTGTGGGACTGGACTGGGCACTCTGCAAAGGTGAGGTAGCTATGTAGCTTGATCTGCTTAAGGGGCCCCTGGTAGTGGGATCAGGATCCATCCCTAGGCCCACTGCCTGTGGTGGGACACCTCGCACAGCCTTGGTCCAGGGGGAGGGGCTTGGACCTGCCTCTACTGAGTGTACCAGGCTCTGCTGCCTCCCTTCTGGAGGCCTTGCCTTGGAGAAGGTGGAAATGAGGGGTGGGATGTGGGGGAAGGGTAGGGGGTGGGAGGAAGGAGGGGAGGGGATCTGTGGTTGGAATGTAAAATGAATTGAAAATCTCTTAATAAAAAAAGAAAAGGAAAAAAAAGAAAAGAAAATGCCGTACAGCTGGAGGCATTTTCTCAGATTTCCTGATTGCAGAGGGTTTGGGGGTGGGGTAGAGGGTCAGAGCTACTTCACTTTGTTTGTTTGTTTGTTTTTCTGTCTTTTAAAACAGGGTCTTTCACTGGGACCTGGTGAAGGTTGGGCTCTGACGAGGACAAGCTGGCAGTCCACAGAGCCCCCGGGATCTGCCAGGCTCTGTCCCCACATTACAGGGGTTTCATGTCTGACTTTTTCTATAGGTGATAGGATCACCTGAGGTCTTCCTTCTGGCACGGCAAGCCATTTCCCCAGGATATGCTACCACGTGCTGGTGGAGGGGGTGTGGATTTGAGAGGGGAAGGAGACAGGAAGCTTTGCAGAGGAAAAAAGGTTCTTAGTTTTATTTCTTTTATGAGTACAGGTGTTTTGCTTGAATCTATGTCTGTGTGACACATGCATTCCTGTGTCTGTGGGGACCAGAAAGACAGACTGGAGTTATAGATTAATGTGAGCTGCCATGTGGGTGCTGGGAATCAAACCTCAGTCTTCTGGAAGAACAGCCGATCCTCTTAACTGCTGAGCCATCTCTCTAGCCCCAGTGAGGAAGAAATACTTGAATAAAGTCTTGTTGGGTGGGAACAAGGGTGAAAAATGCCCACCAGGCAGAGTCCCTGTAAATGGAAGGAACTGGCGGGTTAGGAACACTAGAGCCTGAGCTGTGCACAGGGCAGAGTACAAACACTGGTGTAGCCCCAGATGTGGGGCTGCAAAGGCTAGACCTTTGTGAGCCTTGCTGAGGAGCAATTGTATCAGTAAGAGTCCCAGCACCAGCAAAGACTGGACTGAAGAGAACTCTGCCTTCTGAGTTCTGGGACTAAAGGTGTGGACCACCACGCCAGCACCACACCTTTTTATTTCGAGGCAGCATCGTTCCTGAACCTAGAGCTTGACGATTCTCCTAGGCTGGCTGGCCATGGAACTCTGGGAGCTGCCTGTCTCTGCCCACCCCCAGCACTGAAATTACAGACATATGCTGCCACGTGCACCTTTTTATGGCGGTGCTGGGATCTGGACTCGGTCCTCCTGGAGGCACGGTGGGTGAGCACTTTGCCAGTTTGGGCATCTCCTCATCTCAATGAGCCATCTCTCCAGCCCAGTCACTTTTTAAAATATCTCAAAAATGGCAGAGCAACAACATTAAGTTTCTGAGGGACCAACTGGGCCTGAGTCACTAGCCTAGATGTTCACACATGAAAGAAATGATTTCCAACTTGCTCAAGGAGGCTGGGTGAAATGCCAGTCTCTTGTTAAAGAAGCCTCTACTGTATCCTATCAGGAGCAGTAATGTAAAAAGCGGGGTGGTGGGTGGCATGGAAGAAGAGGTGCCTCTCCATTCTCCTGGCAGAGGTGTGGCTGAGGGATGTGTACAACCTCCATGCTGCACTTCACACCTGCCTCTGACTCCATTCCGGGGTTTTCTTATTCAATGACTGAGCCTACAAAAGTGCCAGAGCAGACCCATTCCTGTAAAATATGGGACTCCACTGATGGGTATCCGTGGCCGTGGCCTAGTGGGACTCCACTGATGGGTATCTGTGGCTGTGGCTTAGTGGGACTCCACTGATGGGTATCCGTGGCCTTGGCTTAGTGGGACTCCACTGATGGGTAGCTGTGGCCTTGGCCTAGTGGGACTCCACTGATGGGTATCCGTGGCCTTGGCTTAGTGGGACTCCACTGATGGGTAGCTGTGGCCTTGGCCTAGTGGGACTCCACTGATGGGTAGCTGTGGCCTTGGCTTAGTGGGACTCCACTGATGGGTAGCTGTGGCCTTGGCTTAGTGGGACTCCACTGATGGGTATCCGTGGCCTTGGCCTAGTGGGAGTCTAAGTTAGAAGTGTCAATTTAGGAAACAAAGTTTGATGACTTCTGTTTGATGAGGGTAAAAGAGGCTGGAGGATGGGCAGAAAGGCAGATAGCAGCCTTCAGTAAGTGCTTCCCACATGGCTGGAGATTGTCTAAGATCTTCATTGTATTAACTACTTGAACTTCACAGTACAGATGTGGCTGGGTGCCAGATATTGTTATTCCAAATAGCCACTGTTCTTGGTGACAGAATTCCCTGCACATGGCTTACATGCCTTCTGTTTTTTCCTTACACCCTGCATCATCACGTGGCACAGTTGGCTGCATCTGTGCCGTGCGAGGCTGAGTCTGATGGGCTATAGGTGGACAGTTTCTCGTCCTTCCTCTTTTTATGTGGATTGGAATGTGGGCATGCTGGCTGAAACTGGAAACGCCACGTTGGCTCTTGATGAAAAGCAAACGACCCGAGTGCTGATCTAAGTCACACCAGAATGACCGTAGCATCCACACTTGCTGTCCGTGCTCCACTTTACACAAGAGAAATAAAGGCTGTGCCACCCAGTATTACTTAACTGTCGCTGCTTGGTGTGTACGGGGGCAATACTTCCTTGAGATGGACCCCATAACAAAAGACAAATTAAGAAAAGCAAAACACATCTACTACATGTGAACGTCACGTATGCACAGGAGACATACAGAGAATGGGCACTTCCCTTAGATGGCTCAGTGTAACAGCTGATGAAGGACAGCAAAGCCAGTGTGTCAGCGCACGCCTTTAATCCCAGCACTCGGGAGGCAGAGGCAGGAGGAGCTCTGTGAGTTCGAGGCCAGCCTGGGCTACAGAGTGAGGTCCAGGACAAATAGGGCTACATAGAAAAACCTTATCTCAAAGACAAGAATGTGGGGCTGCAGAGATGGCTCAGTGGTTAAGAACACATACTGCTCTTACAGTTCGAATCCCAACACCCATATCAGACAGCTCAGAACTGCCTGTCACTCCAGCTCTAGGGATCGGATGCCCCCCTGTCCTCCTCATGTACAGACATATACACATAAAGAATAAGAAGAAACACCAGCAAAAGAAAAGGGTCTTTTGCTGGGCGGCAGTGGCACACACCTTTAATTCCAGCACTCGGGAGACAGAGGCAGGCAGATCTCTGTGAGTTCGAGGCCAGCCTGGTATACAAAGCGAGTTCCAGGACAGCCAGGGCTGTTACACAGGGAAACCTTGTCTCAAAAAAAAAAATGGATCTTTCATCTCTAATGTTTTCTAAAGTTGGGGACTTGCAGAAATAAATGACATCCAGGCTAGTTAGGGAAATTTGTTACCATATAGTCCTCTAAGTTGAACAGAGTGCCTCAAAACTGTTCATCTCAGTACATGTTTGGGAGGTAGAAACAGGAGGCTAGCCTGGGCTACAAGTTAAAAAAAAAAATCAATCAGGGAATGGACCCAAGCATTCTGCCCGAGGCCGACCCGGGGCCCAGCTGCCGACCCCATGAAACCTAACAACTTGGAAGTGCTGGTGAGATTACCCTACTGATCAACCTGTTCAGCTGAGATCCATTCGGGAGAGGTTTCAGAAGCCTGCAGCCTGCAGTCTGAGGAAACAAGATCAGCTGAGGAGTGGGCGAGCGAGCAAAACACGACCTGAGAACGCAAGAGAAGGAGCCACCCAGCCACCGAACCAGATTACCAGAATCATAAGCCCACCCTACACTGACTGGGAAAAGGTAGGGCCCCATCTCTGGACTGGCAGACCAGGTCTCTACCCCCTAGGCCCCAACCATCGGAGCCCCAGGGACCAGGCAGCTACCTTTCCCTGCTCCCTTGCCAAAAAAAACTAGCCCCTGCGAACCCAACAACCACCAGAGTCATAAGCCCACCCTGCACCAACTGGGAACAGCCACTGGAGCCCCAGGGACTGGACATCGGCCTCTTTCCCTGCCCCCTGGCCAAGAAAACCATCCCATGAGACACCAACAACCACCAGAGCCATAAGCCCACCCTGCACAGATTGGGAACAACTGCTCCCTGAGACAGAACCCACTAATACCGATTAGACTAAGCTGCTCCCGGAGAAACAGAGCCCAACAGCATTGATTCGACCAAGAACTTCCCGGTGGACCAAGACTATCAATTGGAACAAGAGAGGCACCCTCAGACACAGACACCACCTGCACCGAGTGGAGGAAGAGATGAGTAGACGCCAGTGCAAAAATACAAGCAACAACATAAAGATCTATTTGACAACATCAGAACCTAGTGATTCTACACCTGCAAGACCCGAACATACCAAGGCAGAAGCAGCAGAAAAAAATCAATCCTAAAAATGACTTTAAGAAGATGATAGAGGCCCTTAAAGAGGAAATGAAAAACTCCCTTAAAGAGGAAATGAAAAATTCCCTTAAAGAAATGG